ACAAATTCCGCAACACTTTTATTTAAAATGTTACTCTGATTTTTAAACAAAGCATAAACAAAATCGGTCCTTTCTGGCCGTGAAAATGGGGATGTCACAGGCTGTGTCTTGACGACCCAAGAACACTTGATGTTCTTGTGTTTACAGCCTAGTTGGGGGTTCACGGCCCAACAATCTTGAAGAAGGAAGAACACTTGAAGATCCTAAGCAAGTTCCCTTGAAGATTAAGGGGAGAAGGATAATATTTGAGAGGTAAATGAGAATTTTTGGTTGAAGATCTAGAGAGAAAAATGGGGTGTTTACGGCCCAAGATGATGAAGTGGAGAATAAATCAGCCAAACGCTTACATATATGGAGAGTATACGGTCCGAAGGAGGGTTCACGGCCCGAGGCACGTTCACGGCCGAAGCGAGTTCACGGCCGCAAACCGAAGCTTTGCGGTCCGAAGTAAGGTCATAGCCGAGAACCGAAGACTGTTTACTGCCGCAAAGGGTTTGCGGTCCATGCGAGGTTTGCGGCTGCGAGACTTATTGGTTTTTAATTTCTACACTTCTATTTTGAACAATACCTCAAATAAAAGTTTCCAAACCAAGTCTAGAATCTTAATATACTCAAAATTAAAATAAGATAGATCAAAACGAGAAGTTTGACTTTTATTGGAATAAAATTTTCGGGTTGTCACACCTAATCCCCACATGCTGGCCTCATTTCCAGCCTCCACGTCCCAAACCCTAAATCACGAAGCCCTAATGCTTTGTGTGTGAGCTTGTAATATATTTTTTGATTGAATCTTGTGTGCTTGAAGCTTGTGAAGGAAGTAGAAGCTTGGATATTCAAGAAGAAGCTAGTAGATCCAGAGACACCATTGCATTCTCATCATTTTCTGGTAAGCAAGTCCCAAACTTTCTTAGTAAATTCTTAGATCTTCTAATTATAATTTTATTGGGTTTTTGGTCCAAGAAGCATGACCTTTGCGAAATGGACGTCCCAAGTGAGTATACCATCAGATCTGGAATCGTGGAGGGCTTTCATGGCATAAAGGTGCAAACTTTATGGCCAGTGAAACCCTATGCAAGCTATAGGATGTCATTTTGGCCTTTTGAGCTCCAAAAGGCCATGCATGGAGAGAAAGGTGGAAGCTTTACGTGTTCATATAGTGTGTAGGGTCCAGATCTCAGTTTGTGTGCTTTAGCTTGGAGTATTGATGGCTTGTAAACCAAGATCTAGGTCCTAAAGAGTTAGGGTTTGAGCTAAATCCATTAAGTAAGGGTATTAACGGTTAAAGTTGGAAACTTTACCCTTAAAAGGGCATTTCAGTGTATATGAGAAGTATGAAGCTCAGATCTGAAGAGTAGGGGCGTAATCCATTAAGATGTAGCAACAGACTGAAGAACTCGACGAGTCCATAGAGGAACTCGACGAGTTGAGTCGATTTGTCCCGGTTCTGTAAAGGGTGGAACTCGATGAGTCTGAGGAGGAACTCGACGAGTTGATTCGCTTTATCATGACTACGAGTAGCAAGGGAACTCGACGAGTCAGGGGGATGAATCGACGAGTTGAGTCAACTCGGAATGTTGACTTTGACTTCGTCCGAGTATTGACTTTGACTTTGACTGGACGTTGACTTTGATATTGACCTTGATATTGACCTAGGTTGACTCGTGAAGGGGTCTTGAGTATAGAATGGTATCTAAGGGGTTGTTTATGTATAGGGTGCGAGTAGAGCCGCTTGCAGGAGCAGAGACGTACAGCTATCTCACCCGACATTTGAGGTGAGTTTTCTGCTGTAGGAACGGGTCGAAGGCACCAATGTCGGCCCGTGTATGTATGTTAGTATGTTCCGGACTAAGGTCCGATGCCGGGCGAGGCTCGATGTAGGTTTATATGTTTTCCGGGTTTCGACCCGATGCTGGGGCGATACCCGATGAATGTTTGTATGCTTGATGCCTTTGTGATTCTTGCATGTGTTTGTATCTGTATGTTTCCGGACTACGGTCTGATTCCGGGGGCAGTTCCCGAGGAATGTTTGTATGCTTTCCGGATCTCGGTCCGATGCCGGGCGGGGCCCGAGGAATGTTTATATATCTATGATTAGGTGATTATGCTTATGTTTATGTGTATTAGTAGATATGCTCATACATATTCCGAGCTTTGCTCAATGTCGGGCGGGGCCCGATGCCAGCTGCAGTCTGACGTCGGGCGGGGCCCGATGTCGGGCAAGGCCGATGCCGGGCGGGGCCCGATGTAGCAGGGCGGGGCCCATGATATGTTGTTATGTGATTATGTGATATGTGTATGGTATGTGGTAGTTTGGGGAGCTCACTAAGCTTCGTGCTTACGGTTTTCAGTTTTGGTTTCAGGTACTTCCGGTAGCAAGGGGAATAGCTCGTGATGACTGCATGACACACACCGTTTATGTTTACCCTGGGATGTTTTACTCTGATTTATGTGACATGTGATTGATATGGATACACTATTTTGATACTTGAGATATTATGGTTCATGTTTTGATAAATGATTTTTAGTAATTCTGGTTTAAATAAATGAAAATTTTGGACCGTATTTTTTGGATGTTTCAAGTTGGTATCAGAGCCTTGGTTTGAGGGATTCAGGCACACTCTCGGGTGTGTCTGAACTCAAACTGAGGACTTGGTATAAAATTTTTAAAAGAAAAATCATTTTTACAAAAAGGATTTTGAAAAGATAAAAAGGGCGTGGTGCATGCAATCAGGCGATCTCAAGTAAGTACTCCCAAATTACCCATACAAGTTTATGTTATGATATGCTTATGAGAACTGCATGCTAGATTAGGGCTAAGGATCTAGGAAGGATGCCTTATGTGCCTGTTATATGTGTATGAGCTTTATGAACTGCATGTTAGTACTGATTAGTCAGTGATATGATAACCTGATTAAGATATGCTTGATTATGTTTACACAATGCTCGAATGCTGCTTGCTTTGTGCTTTTAGGAGTTCTAGCTATCTCTAACTAACTAGTAAACGAATATGTTAAGTTACATATTGCGAGGACTAAATAATTTCAGAAGGTTAGGTTTAGCTCTATTTCGCAGCTCTTATTTGAGTCCAACCGTTGTAGGGTAGGACCTCTCATTCGAAGAATTATCCAGTCTTAGTGATATGTAATAGTATTCGCGAGCCAGTTAGGGGGAGATAACAGGGACTTCTTATGTAGCTGATGGCGAAGAGTGGGCTGGTGATTACCCTATGGCAAGCCTAGGATGAGATTAGCATGAGAACAACAGTAAGAGTAGAAGGGACTTGGTGGAGTCAAGACAGTTCTTGAGGAAAGAAATCCCTAACTGCCGCCCTGACAACTCCTCGAGCTAACAATACCAAAATATCACCCAATTAGCAATTAGGTTCCAAACCATGATCCAAAATCCATACTTGGGGTAAAATGAACATTTTACCCCTGTCTCAATAAGATACATAACTAAGGCCCAAGCCCAAAACCAACAATATCCAAAACCACAAAATCCATGAAAGCCCACTATGGCCCAATTTTCCAAATTGGGCCCAATCCCATACGAGCCTTATCCTAAGCCCACATTTCCAATTCAGTTTGCTTCAAATACCCCGTGGGACAAACTTGATCAAAGGCATAAGTCAAAAGTCAAGGTCAACGGCTTGAGTTGACCCAACTCGCTGAGTTGCCCTTCAACTCGTCGAGTTCCTCTGACAACTGCAAAGTCAGGAAGAACCCGATCCAACTCGCCGAGTGGACCCACACCAACTCCAAAACGGGAAAAACCAAAACAACTCGTCGATTTGGCCGTCCAACTCGTCGAGTTCACCTGAGACCAAACAACCTAACCCATTAAGCCGATATATTCCAACTTTACCCCTAAGAACCACCATAATGGGTTCAAAACCCAAACCCTAAACTTAGAAGGGTAAGGACTTAATCATTAAGCACTTATTCCACAAGGACACAACTCCAAGATGCAGATATGACCATATGAGGCTAGATGGCCATATAAAGTTTCCAACTTTACACTTATTCCTACTTAGAAGAAGCTCAAAAGCTTAAAAGAGACCAAAAGAAGGACTTAATGAATGCATGAAACCCTTATGACCATAAAGTTGACACCTTTATGCCAAAAGAGCTCTAAAGGACCATAGATCTGTAAGAATAACACTTGAGACGTCCTTCAACCCCACCAATCACCCAAATATGGCTAAAAACATCAAAACTTAACCCAAAAAGAGATCTAATCAAATATTAAGCAATGATAGAACTTTATACCCACAATATGCTAGAAATGATGCAAATAATCAATATCTGAAGGCTTCTACTTGAATCATCACCTTGTACCAAGCTTCTCCTTCTTTCAAGAGCTTCAAACACACCAAAACACACTCAAAAAGGGCTCACAACACTCAAAAAGACCATAAAGTTGACACCTTTATGCCAAAAGAGCTCTAAAGGACCATAGATCTGTAAGAATAACACTTGAGACGTCCTTCAACCCCACCAATCACCCAAATATGGCTAAAAACATCAAAACTTAACCCAAAAAGAGATCTAATCAAATATTAAGCAATGATAGAACTTTATACCCACAATATGCTAGAAATGATGCAAATAATCAATATCTGAAGGCTTCTACTTGAATCATCACCTTGTACCAAACTTCTCATTCTTTCAAGAGCTTCAAACACACCAAAACACACTCAAAAAGGGCTCACAACACTCAAAAAGACTTTAGGGTTACGAGATTAGGGTTAAGGATAATAAGTTAAGTATAAGACGCAAATTTTTTTGATAAGTTAAGGATAATAACTTATCAAAAAATGATTGATCTTCGATTCCATACTATTATAATTATAATGATTTTAAAAACTATCTATCCAACTATTCATTTTAACATACCGATATAAAAAGAATAATAAATTAAAAAATTACTTAAACTCTTTAAGTTGAGCCAAACACCCTTTTAATAACAAAATAAAAGATGGAACAAATCATAATGCGCTACCTATTATGGTAGAATAGACACGGCAAGCGTAATCTTCAAATATACCCTTCCAAGACGTAACAGCGGCATTTTTGTCACCCAAACGCAGAAAAAACCATCGATTGCTTTAGATCTCAACAAAAGACGCTTTCAATTCCCCCCAGCCCACAAGATCCATCCAAATCCCTTAACCTGCTCGAAGGTTACTTCAATTCCTTTTTTCCATTTTCATGATCTGGGATCGATTAATCCTCTGACTTTTAGCTTCTACGTGGTTGTTCTAATGTCGAATTGCTGCATTTGCAGGTTTCAATCATCTACAAGGGGGTTGAGAGCCATATCATGATTTGGGTTTGAGGATTTAAAAGAATTAGTGTTGATGGACAAAAATAAAAACAGGACCGATCTGCTCGCTGCTGGCCGTAAAAAGGTTAGTGTTGGGTAAATTTTAATGTAATTTAAACTTGTGATTTGTTAGTTAGAACTACGAATCGACAGTTACTGTTTGGTTGAATAGAGAAATATTGGGAAATAAATTGCTCTGATTGATTCTACTGTTGTATCTTACTGAAATGAAGGAAGATTTGATTGTTCTCGTTCGTATAGCACTTAGGTTTGATCACTTTTTGACATTGTAAAAGGGGGAAAATCCTGTACCAATGCTCAAGGCTTCTTAAACCCTAAAACTCATTTATATGAAACAGCTGTGATGCTCTTTTTGCAATAGAAAACTTGCCATGGCTTCCATAACAAAATTTTACTTTTGCTTAATCTTAGGATGTGTCTGGATGTGCATTGCTTGGAAAAAACTATCTGATTATTTGGGGTCAAAATAATCGGATTTAGCCCATTACCTTGATTCTAAATCTTTAAGGACTTTGAAAACATAAATCTGAATACCCCCTTATTATTATCTCTATGTTTACACTCTCTTTCATCTTGCCACCTAATGTGAATATCCAAATGGCACTGCTATTATGGCAGCATAGATGTCTGTATACTTGCATTGGTGCTCTAGAGTAGCTTCAAAGTATTATAATTTTTTGCATAAACTTAAAAGAGTTTGAAATTTGGTTTTGACATTATTTGTTATGCTTTATCAGCTTCAACAATATCGGCAAAAGAAGGATGGTAAAGGCAGTAAATCCTCGGGTAAGGCCAATAAATCTGAGCGTGATGTGGTTGTTGGTGACTCATCATCTGTTGCCAAATCATCACCTGAACAAGTTTCAGGCACTGAGCTTGTTGAATTATCTTCACAAGCCTCCACAGATACCGCTGTAGCTACTAATGCTGATGTGGCAGCTCCTGATCCTTCCTCCACATCAGTTGCACCAATAGAAGTTTCTAAAGTTGATGATTCAGTCTCAACTGAAGGTCTGCAAAGTTCTAATCGTGATGATGTGATACCAACTTTTTCTCCTCCAAAAATAGTTAATATTGAAGGAAAACTTGAAAGTGGCTTATCTGTTGGTTTGAAGGGTGTACTTGATGATAGTTTTGCTCATAAAGCAGGTGAAATGATTGCTGCACATGGGGAAGATCAGGTACCAGATGTAGGTTGTGCCTGTATTCTCTTGTTCTCAATTACAATTTCTTACCACCATATGATTGGGGTTTTAAAATCAACATATTTCTGTGGTTTATAACCAAAATCTCTTTGTTTGTTTGTTTGTTTGTTAGGGACATTGCAGGAAGATAATAGAACCAGTTTGATAGATGTTGAAGGGGACATGAATCAAGTTAATTCGGGGGATGTTGAAGAAGATGCTAAGATGGAATCTACAAGCAGTGCAATAGAACAAACTAGTGAAGAACGTGATGGATTTCCTGCATTTGTTAATGCAGATGTGAATTTTGCTTCTAGGCTCCCCCCATCTTCTGATTATGAACCTGAAATTGGTGATTCTGGTGATACAAATGCAGATGTACATTCTGCTTCTGGGCTTCCCTCATCTTCTGATCAAGAACGTTTAATTGGTGATTCTGGTGATACCAATGCAGATGAACCTACAATTGGTGATTCCGGTGATGCTAATGCAGATGTACATTCTGCTTCTGCGCTCCCTTCTTCTGATCATGAACCTGCAATTGATGATTCCGGTGATACTAATGCAGATGCACAATATGCTTCTGTGCTTCCCTCATCTTCTGATCATGAACCTACAATTGGTGATTCCGGTGTTAGTAAGGCAGATGAACATTCCCTTTCTGGGCTCCTGTATTCTGATCATGGACCTGCAATTGGTGATTCCGGTGATACTAATGCAGATGTACACTCTGCTTCTGTGCTTCCCCCATCTTCTGATCGTGAACTTACAATTGGTGATTCCGGTGTTAGTAATGCAGATGAACAGTCTCTTTCTGGGCTCCTATATTCTGATCATGGACCTGCAATTGGTGATTCCAGTGAAACTAATGCGGATGTACATTCTGTTTCTGGGCTCCCATATTCTGATCGTGAACTTACAATTGGTGATTCCGGTGTTAGTAATACAGATGAACATTCTCTTTCTGGGCTCTTATATTCTGATCATGGACCTGCAATTGGTGATTCCGGTGTTACTAATGCGGATGTACATTCTGTTTCTGGGCTTCCATCTTCTGATCATGAACTTACAATTGGTGATTCCGGTGTTACTAATGCGGATGTACATTCTGTTTCTGGGCTTCCATCTTCTGATCATGAAATTACAATTGGTGATTCCGGTGTTAGTAATGCAGATGAACATTCTCTTTCTGGGCTCCTATATTCTGATCAGGGACCTGCAGTTGGTGATTCCAGTGATTCTAATGCAGATGTACATTCTGTTACAGTTTGTGATTCTGGTGTTAGTAATGCAGATGAACATTCTCTTTCTGGGCTCCTATATTCCGATCAGGGACCTGCAATTGGTGATTCCAGTGCTTTTAATGCAGATGTACATTCTGTTACAGTTGGTGATTCCGGTGTTAGTAATGCAGATGAGCATTCTCTTTCTGGGCTCCTATATTCTGATCATGTACCTGCAATTGGTGATTCCAGTGATTCTAATGCAGATGTACATTCTGTTACAGTTGGTGATTCCGGTGTTAGTAATGCAGATGAACATTCTCTTTCTGGGCTCTTATATTCTGATCATGAAGTTGCCATTGGTGATTCCGGTGACACTGATGCAGATGTACATTCTGCTTCTGTGCTTCCTCCATCTTCTGATCAGGAAGTTGCAATTGCTGATTCCGGTGATACTAATGCAGATGTAGTGGTAGACATTCATATGAAATCTGGATCTGCTGAGTTCCCAGAGAAACTCAAAGAGCAGTTATATATCAACAATTTTGAAAAAGAATTGGTTCACTTGCAGCTATGTGAAGAAAGGGATGTAAGAAAGGAGTTTGAACAGCACCATCTTCAATGGGAGAATGAGAAATCATCTTTTATTACTTCCATTGCTGATCTTGAAGGCAAGAACAGAACCCTTTCTGAAGAGATTGCTGAATGTAGATCTGAACTGAACACATTTGCAAACAAAATGGAGGAGCTTGATATGAGTGTTTCTTTCTCAAAAACAGAATTAGACTGGTCTTCTTCTCGCATCCAGGAATTGGAGACTGAACTGTCGAATGTGTCATCTGAGTTGGTTGATAGTAAGAGTTTGGTTTCAGATTTGCAGGTGAAAAATGAAACCCTAAATGTCAATGTTGCTTCTTTGACCGAGGAGAAAGATAAACTTGAGAAGGAGAAAGGAGATGTGATTCTGGAGAATGAAAAGTTGAGTAAAGATTTGATGGAGTGCAAATCTTTACTGCAATCAGCACATGTTGAAAAAGTCATTGTTAAAGAAACTCTTGCTCTTGTAATGGAGGAAATGAAGAAACTGGAAGAGGTAAAACAAAATTATGTTTCTGAAAAGGATAAACTGCTAAATGACTGGAAGAAATTAGAAGAGGTTCTTGCTTCAGAGAGGGAGGAAAGAAGTAAAAATAATGAAGCAAATGATCACTTTATCCAGGAGAATAATAAAGTTTCCATGGAGTTATTGGAATCCAAGAAGTTAATGGAAAGTTTAGAGTCAGAAATTGCTAACTTAAGTGAGAATCTTGATCTGGTAACAAAGGAAAGAACCAAACTTGGAGAAGATTTGGACCATTTAAGATTCGAAAAGGAGGAGTGTTTGACAGAGTTAACAAGCTGCAAAACTTTATTGAAGAATCTTCAGGTGGAATATGAGGAGTCCATGAATGAATCAAGAGACAGTGCCCTAAGGCTTGAAAAACTCACTGAAGAAAATGTTACTCTTTCTAGTAATCTGGACATGTACAAAGCTAAGGTTACAGAATTGGATGATTGGAAAATGAAGTCTGAAGAAAGAGCCTCTCATGGGAAACTAGAAGAGCTCACGGAAGCCTTGAAAGAGCAGAATAATAGTTTTGAGGAAATATTCTTGAAAAATGTGATCTTGGATGAGGTTATGAGGCAATATGTGCACACGGTTGAATCCAAAAAGGGTGATCTTGTAAATTTGTGTGAAGACTTGAGGCAAGAAGTGATCTTTACTAAAACACAAAACTCAGAGCTTACAGAAAAGCTTCACAACTCTGAATCAAGAATCCATGAATTGCAGTTACAAGTGGATGACATGGCTTCTTTTAGTAACCAGTTGGAGCTGCTTCACAGAAAGCTTGATGCATCTATTGAGGGCATTTCCGTCATTCATTCAAGTGAAGCAATTGTTGGTGACAATATCTTTGCTCGTGTGGCTACTTCTGTTGATGCAGCCATTGAAGTAATTCAAGATTTGCAAGAAAAGCTTGAAGATTCTCTCAAAACCCGTAACTCACTTTCAGATTCTTACAAGGAAATGAGTGAAAAAATCAAGGATTTAGAACAGACGAATGAGCTTGCTGCCTATGTAATACATAAAGTCTTTGATAACCTTCAGAAAATTGTGAATGGTTCTACAGAAGAAAGTGAAGATGATACAAGAAATGAACAGCTGGATCATCTAGAAATCAGCAACTATGATGTGTTCATCGAACGATTAATAATGATTCTTCGTGAACGTGCACAACTCGAAGCAAAAAACAGAGAATACAATTTGGATTTGTTGAGAAGAATAAAAGATTTGGAAGAATCAAACAGAAAGCTTAATAATCCAGCCAAGGATTTGAAATTGATGGAGTTACAGACCAAAGTAAACCAGTTAACCTCTTCAATCATCCCATACGAAATCGAAAGCTCCATTTATAAGGAAAGTCTGAGGTCTGCAATTGAACAGATTGCTGTCATTCAATCTGAAACAAAGATAAAAGAAACAGAACTTCATCAATCTGAGAACCGTGTTTCTGCTTTGAGAGAAAAGCTTCATATTGCTGTTACAAAAGGGAAAGGTTTAATTCAACAACGTGACACCCTGAAGCAGAATCTTACAATGAAAGATGCTGCACTTCAAGAGCTTGAAACAAAGCTTAAATCATACTCTGAAGCTGGTGAGAGAATGGAAGCTCTTGAATCTGAGCTCTCCTACATTCGGAATTCAGCTACTGCATTACGGGAATCTTTTCTGTTAAAAGATTCTGTTCTTCAGAGAATCGAAGAGATTCTAGAAGATTTGGACCTTCCGGAACACTTCCATGACAGAGACATTATTGACAAGATCGATTGGTTAGCAAAATCGGTTTCTCATGAACCGAGTCAGACGGGTGTAATTGAGCGAGCTCATTCGTATCCTGGTTCTGGTCCTTTAGAAGGATGGAAAGAAGATTTGGAACCAGTTTCAGATGAATTAAGAAGAAATTATGAGGATCTTCAGAATAAGTTTTATGAGTTGGCTGAGCAAAATGAGATGTTGGAACAATCATTAATGGAGAGAAATAATCTTGTGCAGCGGTGTGAAGAAGTTTTGGAAAAGACAAATATGCCCTTGCATTTGAGATCATTGGAACCAGAAGATAAAATCGACTGGTTACGTGTTGTTCTTGCTGAGGCAAATGACCGTTGTGCCCACCTTGAAGAATCGTTAATGGAGAGAGATAGTCTTGTGCAGCGTTGTGAAGAAGTTTTGGAAAAGACAAATATGCCCCCACATTTGCAATCATCAGAGCTAGAACATAAGATCGATTGGTTACGTGTTGTTCATTCGGAGGCAAATGACCTTTGTGCCCTCCTTGAAGAATCGTTAATGGAGAGAAACAGTCTTGTGCAGCGTTGTGAAGAAGTTTTGGAAAAGACAAATATGCCCCCGCATTTGCAGTCATCAGAGCTAGAACACAAGATCGATTGGTTACGTGTTGTTTATTCGGAGGCAAATGACCGTTGTGCCCTCCTTGAACAATCGTTAATGGAGAGAAATAGTCTTGTGCAGCGTTGTGAAGAAATTTTGGAAAAGACAAATATGCCCCCGCATTTGCGATCGTTGGAGCCAGAACATAAGATTGATTGGTTACGTGTTGTTCTTTCGGAGGCAAATGACCGTTGTGCCCTTCTTCAGCAAGACTTGGAAAAGGTTCGTGGGTCACTTTCTGCTGATCTTGAAGAGTCTAATAGAAGATTACTTGATGTTGAGGCAAATCTTAAGTCAATTACAGATGAACGAGACCAGATTTTAGCTCGTTTTGAGGCTCAAAGTCAAGATTATAATAAAATCTTTGAGGAAGTTTCATCGTACGAAATCGAGAATGTTAAATTAAAAAATGAAATCGATGCATTGCAATTAAAATTAGATGAGAAGCATGTGGATGAAGAGCAGATACACCATGTTCATGGTGAAATAAAGCGGTTGCAGGATTTAGTGAAGAACATGCTTCAAGATCCAGAAATGGAAGATTTTGATTCAAGTATGAATGATATTCAGTGTCTCGAAGGTTTGCTGAGGAAGCTAGAAGAAAAAGATCCAAAATACCCTTCGGGAGAAAGAAACATTGAACAGTTAGAGGTTCTGGAGAGAAAGCTAGAGGAGGTTGAAGGTGAGTTAATGCAAGTGAAGGATGAAAGGGATAAACACATGGAAAAAAGTCAATCTTTGGTCAATGAAGTTGAAGCATTAGAGGTAAAGAATCAAGAATTACAGAAGTTACTTGTTCAAGAAGAGCAGAAGACTGGTGTAGTTAGAGAGAAGTTAAATGTTGCAGTTAGAAAAGGGAAATCTTTAGTTCAACAACGAGACACCATGAAGCAAAACATCAATGAGTTGACCGCTGAGGTGGCACGTTTGACTTCCGAGATCAAAGTTCGTGAGAACACACTTTCGGACAATCAAGAAAAGATGAAGGAATCGTTTAAAACCATCAATGAGTTGACCGCTGAGGTGGCACGTTTGACTTCCGAGATTAAAGTTCGTGAAAATACACTTTTGGGACATCAAGAAAAGATGAAAGACTTGTTTACCCTCCAAGAATTGGTGGAAAATAAAGATTCTGAAATCCGGTTCTTGAAAAATCATGTGGAAGAGATTTTAAGTGCTTTGGGAAAGATTGATGTTGGGGTTGAATTGAAAAATAATGACCCGATTGAAAAACTTGAACAGATTGAGAAAAAATGTCGCGATTTACACGATGGAATCTTGTCTGCTGAACAAGATTCAAGAAAATCAAAAAGGGCTGCTGAATTACTTCTTGAAGAGCTGAATGAAGTTCAGGAAAGAAATGAAGATCTTGTTGATGAGATTGCAAAGCTATCAAGGGAAAAAGATTCAGCAGAAGCTGCCATGCGGGATTCTCTCTCACATTTTGAACAGTTGTCAGCTCTTCATTTGGAGGAAAGAAGTAGCCAGTTTGAAGAACTGATGAATTTGAAATCTGATTTTGAACAATTAAAGCCAGAATTAAGAAACATCTACAATCTTGTGAATGATGTTTTGCCCAAAGATTTGGATCATTTATACAATCTTGAATCCAGTGTTAAATCATTGTTGGAATCAAGTGATGCTTCAAAAACCTCCTTCAGAAAGGATTCCAAGGTAACTAATCAATACTAATTTCCAGTAAAATTACATGTTATAGAAATACACTTTTATGTTTCTAATTATATTCTCTTCTCAGGATAACCTTTTCTTGGACACCAAAAGAGAAGAGGAACACAGTGATGATGAGATCGTTGATTTATGGAGATTTGTTGGGACCCACATGGAGGATTTAATATCTAACATCAGTCTTTTTGAAGAAAAACTGGAAGCCCATTCAAAATCTTTACATAAAGAAGCTATTGTTTTATCTGAGACAGTGTCAACTCTTCATAAGGAAATGACGTCCAGTAAATCCTCCCTTGAATCCATTAATAAACAGAAAGAGAAAGAAAATTTAGCCCTATGTAAACACATTTCAATGCTGTATGAAGCTTGCAAGAATTCAGTTTTTGAAATGGAAAAAGTCAAAGGCCAAATGGTTTCAGATGATGAATCCTTGTTGTTCATTGAAGGAGACACACTTTCTGTTTCTGAAGAACAAATCATGAATATGGTGAACAGATTGTTGTCACATGTGAAGGATTTTCACAGTTTTCAGACTGAAAATATGGAAGTGAACCTAAAGGAAATGAAGGAAAGAATTTCTAGTTTACAGAAAGAGTTGACTGAAAAAGATGTTCAGAAGGATAGAATCTGTGTTGACTTGGTCAATCAAATCAAACGAGCTGAAGCATCTGCCATGAACAACTTGCAACAACTCGAATCTTCCAAAACTCAAGTAAATGACTTAAAAGGGCAATTGGAAGCTGTAAATGTTGAGTGTAAAGCATTACAACAAAGGGTAAAAGAGGTAGAAGAAGGTCAAGAAGAAAAAATAAAATCACTTACACATGCTTTAACATCAAAAGAACAAGGTGACTGATTATTAACTTTATAAAATTTTAATCTTTATCAAGATAATGGTTTTTTAAACAAGTTTTGATTTTTTTTTTTGTTGTTGCAGAAGCTGAAGCTTTATTACAGGCGCTTGATGAAGAAGAAGCCCAAATGGAAGATTTAACAAACAAAATCACAGAATTAGAAAAACTTATGAAACAAAAAGATCATGATTTGGAAAACACAGAAGCTGCACGTGGAAAAGCATTAAAGAAACTTTCAATCACAGTCAACAAATTCGATGAACTTCATCATCTCTCAGAAACCCTAGTTTCTGAAATCGATAACCTTCAATCCCAGCTTCAAGAACGCGATTCTGAAATCTCTTTCTTGAGAGATGAAATCACAAGATGCACAAGTGATTCCTTACAAGCATTGGAATCTGACAAAAAAGGATTGGATTCAATCCAAGACATTTTGACTTGGTTACAAACACAAGATCTGCATCTTGATGACAACAATGGCGAATCCAATCAAGTTCATGAATATAAAGAAACACTCAAGAACCAAATCGCAACTATTGTTTCTGAATTGAAAGAGTTACGCCAGGTGGCACAAAGTAAAGATGAGTTATTGCATATTGAAAGGAGTAAAAGAGAGATTCTTGAAAGTTCCATGAGAGAACAAGAATCAAGATTGAGTTTGCATCAAGATAATGATGAATCTGCTAGAGGAGCAACATCTATGACATCAGAGATTGTGGAAGTTGAACCTGTGGTAAAGTTAAACCCTTTTTTCATTTATTTGTGTATTACTATTTACTAATAATGTTTATTTGTTTTTTTTTAATTGATGAAGATTAATACATGGCAACCGAAAGGGACAACATCTCAAGTTAGAAGCTTGCGAAAAGTAAATAATGATCAACTTGCCATTTCCATAGATGATGTGGACTCAGATGAAAAGGATAAGTTAGAAGATGAAGATGATGATAAATGTATTATCTTTTTCCCTTTTTCTTTTTCTTTTATTATGAAATTAATATAATTTCTTACCTTTTATTGTTTTTTGTTCATTCAGCTCATGGTTTCAAGTCTCTTACAACATCAAAACTTGTCCCAAAGTTCACTAGGCCTGTTACAAACTTCATTGATGGCTTATGGTATATTCTTTCATTCTTTGTGTGATTTTTCTATGAAATTTATGATTTTTGATTTATGAAAATGGTGTTTTTTTAGGGTTTCATGTGATAGGGCATTACAGAGACAACCTGTTCTGCGATTGAGTCTAATTCTTTACTGGGCCTTGATGCATGCACTTCTTGCAGCTTTTGTAGTTTGAGTGGTTAGATTCTTCCTTTCATATTTTTATTTTTCTTATGAAGATGATTATGCAGTTTAATCATTTTCTTTCTGATATGCAGTTTCTCAATTTTGGATGAAAGAAAAGAACCCTAGATTGGTTTGTTTTCATAATTTAGGTGAAGATGTGCACAAGTGAAGTGGCTGTGATTTCTCCATATTTTATCAGAAAATCACATATATATATATATATATATAATATATATATATATATATATATATATTATATATATATGTATATATCTTGCTCAGTGATATACAAAAGAGTTTACCAATAATTTGGGGATCTATTTGACGTTTTACAGTTTTGCCTTACAATCAAGAACCCTGATTCATCTCTCCCACTCTCATGTGGAGGTGAATGGCCCTTTTAAATATTTTGTTTGTTTAGGGAAGGCAAGTGCATATATGTGTAGTTTTGTTATACCCCACCCCACCCCACCCCATATTTCTGGGCTTTTACATTACATTTACTTATAATCAATGTTTGCAAAGATTGTTTAAGCAATGAAACACAGATTTTGACATGTTTTCTTATACTTATACCCCTTATTTCTCGGCTTTTACTATTAGTTTTTTTTTTTTTTTTTTTTTTTTTTTTTTTTTTTTTTTTTCTATGTAATTAAAAAGAAATATTAACTTATAATTTACTGGATTAAGTTATGTTCTTGTTGAGGTTATTTAAGTCAAAAAGAAACATCCTCTTAACTTTTCTTATATGAAACATCATCTTAATATTCAACCCACTATTCCATGTGATTGGTAATAAATCAATCTTTACTAATACATATGTATTATGCAATTTTCAAATAATAATGTATTATGCATTTTTCACATGTTATGCATAATTTTCATAATACATGCATTTTTCACAAAGTCAAATAATTTATGTAGCAATGTACTTTTAATTTCATAGATAAAAAATAGATTTGAACATTAATATAACAATTTTTGATATCTAATTAGTTAGGCTGCAACGTATACCCCCACCGGTGAGTTGGGGTGGGGTGATTTGGCAATTCCACGGCACGAGCAAACACTATGTCACAAGTGCGGTGAAGAATCGCACGATAACCATTTGCTTTACTATCTCTTCATTTTCTTTCCTCTTCAACAATTAGAATATGATGTTTTTTTAGTTTTTTTAAGTAACGGTCAATATATATATATATATATATATATATATATATATATATATCTATATATATATATATCATTTTTTTAACCTTCAATCTCACCCATCTACTCTTTTTTCATCATTTTTACAACAAAATGGATTCTAATAACCCCACCCCAAAAACTAGTTGAAATTTTTTTTATGGTTCTAGTTCAAGCATGCAGACTAGAAATTTTTTTACCTTTAGATTTGTCGATTTCGATTTATTGTCCCTAATTAAAATGGATTCTAATAACGCCATTCTTCACCCATTCCTACAATTTCAATATCAAAATGTTCAATCATATTATCTCATGTTAATGTCAAATATTACACTGAACATGATCAACAACTTCGTGATTTTTCTGACCATGTTTCGCCAACCTAACCTCATCTCGCACCACATAGCTACCCCCCCCCCCCCCCCCCCCCCCCCGAGCCACAAACACAAACCCCCCAATGATTCAGATGACGACTCCATACGTGAAACTCAACCCCCTCATCTGAAGACATCTTCGAAAACCAAACCCTCCATGCGGCAAAGGAAAAGAAGTGATGACTACTATAATAAAGGAAGCCCCTTAAGGGTGGACTTCGAGGGAAGAATTGGTGTTGACAAAAGCGTGGGTGAACATATCCGGGGATGTAAATGAAGGAAATGCATAATCGATTGATCATTTTTTGCTATGTATTACCAAATGATTTCTCGAAGAAATGGGGCATGGTGACAACCGTAATAAACACCAATTAAATACAAACTTTGGAGATATTAACAAGAATGTTAGAAATATGTACGAGTTGAATAACAAACTAAAAAGCCAAAGGAAAAATGAAGAAAGTGATGAGAAATTATCCAAGAGGCGTATCAATTATTTTGCGAGGGAAACAATGAAAACCATTCAAATATAATGACTAGTGGAAAGTTTTAGCATTTAGTCCGAAATGGAAAGATATACAAAAGAAAGAGGCTGAAGTCGCTGCAAGAAAAAGAACAAAAACGTCATTGACAAGTTACACAACTTTTTCTGATGCTCGTGTCGAGTTAGACTTAAATGAAAATGACAAGCTCGAGTTAGAAGAAATTGTCCGCTCGATGGGTAGGGACAAAACGAAAAATACAGAAAATAACAATAATGCATCCGGATTCAGTGAAACAGAGGAAATACAAAAAAAAAATGATAATAAGCGTTGAACAATATAATTTTAATTTCACCGAACGTTTGACACTTAAAAAAGAAAAACTGGCCAAAAAAAGAAAAGACAGGCGAGGTAAATCCGAAGGCGTGTGACGAAAAACAACTCCTAAAAGATATGAAATTTTGATGCAAAAATTGGCCAAACAGAGGAAATACAAAAAAACGCTTCTATTTCTTCTTTGTTTATGCATATTGTTTGCTTAATATCAATGATTTTAGAGGCAATGAGGCAATCAACAATCTTACTTCTTTCTTCAAGAAATTCTAAAACAAACATCCTACAATTTGTCTAAAAAAATCAGAAAACGTTCTTCACTTCTTTCTTCTTGAAAATAAGATTTTAGAAGCTTCAAATTCAAGTTGAGGTTTCGAAATCAGAAGGAGAGGATAAGGATTAAGGTATTTCCATTTTTTTCCTAGTTCCTTACTTCTTTTTCTTCTTCTTAGTTTTTTTATTTCTAATTTCTGAAAGAACAAGGAATTGAGGTTTAAAAATCAGAGGAATGTGAAGCACACTAGTTTCGAAAATCAAAACAAAACATTGAGGAAATTGATTTCTGAATTTTGAAGGTACAAGCAAATCTAGGTTTATTATTATTATTATTATTATTATTATTATTATTATTTTAATATAAATTGAGGAATTGAGGAAATCAATTTTTGTAAGAACTAAGAATCTTGATAAGTTTATTTGGTTCGTTTCTGGTACTCTTTTGTTGATTGTTGATACTCTTTCTTGCTAATTTTTGGTACTCTTTCTTGTTCATTGCCGATACTAATCAGAACAAGCATTGAGGAAATCGATTTCTGACTCTTTCTTGATGATTTGAAGTGACGAAAATCAGAAGATACTTTTCTGATTTCTGATTTTTTTTATCAGAAGCATATCTAAGTCGTTTTTTATCCGATCTGATTTGATTTCTATTTTTTATTTGTTTTGTTTTGTTTTGTTTTGTTTTACAGTTTTCATACCCTTTATTTCTTTAGTTTCAACATACAGAACCAAGAAGAAATCTACAAATCGTATATAAGGTCATTTATTTCCTTTCTATAATTTAAGATGCCTTCTATATTAAAAAATATATATATGAACCTGGATATGAAAAACATAAGAAGAAACAAAAAGTTGAAGAATTTAATAAAACTCAAGCAGGATCTATAGATAACTTTATAACAAAACAAACACCAAACTTTCCGGAAAATGAAAAACAAACTGTTAATGGAACTAATCTTGATGCTAATGATAATGCTAATGTTGATGGTAATGGTACTACTAATGTTGATGATAATGATAATGTAACACCCTGTTTCGAATCGTTTCCTAATTCGGGGCCGTGACCTAAAGATCAGTTATCATAAGGCTACGGGCCTTGGGGAAAGAGAGATTTAGACCCCTTGGATGTGGATAATGTAGATTAGGTGATCCGAGAGTTCAGTTTGTGTTTTGGAGCCCAAGGGCATAACCGTAAAGTGATAGTTCGGACATTTTATGAGTTTTGTATTTAAGATCGGGAAGTTTTAAGGCAAAGGAGAGTTTATAGAATTCAAGAGCTTCTCATTACCTTTCCGTGGATATAAAGAACGTCGAAATCGAACTTAGAAAGAAGAAGTTATGGCCTTCAGAAGATTGGTGGTTTTAGTCCATAGTCGAGTACGCTGGGCGTACTCTATGAGTACACTGGGCGTACTAGGTCGTAGTTAGTTGTGGAGGAAACCCACATATACGGGGCGTACATGTAGGTATGTGGGGCGTACGACTAGTAGGGGTAAACCCTAATTTTTAGGATTTGTGCCCTATTTAAACACCTTAAGTTGCTCCTAGACTCTCTTTTGAACAACCTCCACCTCTCCAAACCCTAAGAACGAAACCCTAATTTTCCTTTGAGAGTTTTGAGCTTGGAAGTGAACTTTGAGGGTGTTTTTGGTGATTTTGAAGGAAGAGGAACTCTTGGAAGTTTCATTGGTGTGGTTAGAGCTTGTGGATCCAGAATCATCATAAACATGGAAAGCTCTTTGAGTTATAAAGCTCTTAACTTGATGATTCGTTTTGTTAGATCTAGTTAGGGCTTGTTTTTTTTTTTGCTTTTTATGGTCCTTTATGTTATGCATGGGAGTATGAGCTACTCCAGAAGATAAGGATGATAAATCTTAGCATTTTTGAGGTCCCTTGTTCATAAAAATGCAATCTTGATGAGTTATATTGGACCATACATGAGTTTGGGTGCTTATTATGGATTTTATTAAGTATTGGGTCCCATTAAGACATGCAAAGGAGTAAAGTTGCCAACTTTACGTGTTAAGACATCATTTAAGATCAAATATAAGAATTAGACATAGTGGCTTAACCAATTAAGCACTTAATAGTGATTTAGGTTGCCTGTGGAGTATGTTGGGGTGTACCCAGCTCGTACGTCGCGCGTACTGGCCAAAGAAGGTGTACGTTGGGCGTAAGTCTGAGTACGCGGGGGGTACTTAGCTGCCATTGACTTTTGGGTTTTGGGCCTTGTTGGGCCACTAGTCTTTTTGACTTTGGGTCATTGTTAGAATTTGGGCCTTCTTGGATTTGGACCCATAAAGGGCTTTGGGTGTCATTTCAGAATTTGGGCCATATTGGGCTTTTGGATCCATTGGGTTGGGCCTCAGTTATTGGGCCAAGTGACGAAAGGGTAAAATGGTCTTTTACCCTGGGAGTGGACCAATGAATCAGATTTCTAGTTATGGTTTATGGCCCAATTATTAATTGGGGTTTTATTTGATTGATTAGCGCGGGGATTATCCGGATCAACAGTCCGAGCGTTTATGCGATTTTCAGCAGTTTGAGGTG